ACACTGTACGCAATCCCCGCAACCTCACACCAAATTTCAGGCCGTGTAGATAGACATATATACAAGATAGACATATATACAAATCATTTAGTAAGCAGAAATCCGAAATTTACCTTAACATATTAAGTTAGAGGAAGATGCGACTGACTTGATGCTTGAAGAATGCGCTTCCAGCAGCCATGATAAACAGTTGGCGGTTAAAGTTTTCTATGCACAATTTGATTTGACGAAAGTCACGAGACCTATTACTCTCTATCCAATCACGTTGATGGATAAAAATGAAATTAAAATAAGCATGTAACGACCACAAACGGAGGAAAATAGCGGAGTAAAAGTACCGATATGTCACTTAAAATGTACTCAAGTAAAAGTAAAAGCACACATCTTTTAAACTACTCAAAAAAGTACAATTACTGATAAAAACTACTTAATTACTGTAACGTGAGTATTTGTAATTCGTTACTTCACACCCCTGGTTACATACATACTGATTAACAAATATTGATATGTTGTTCAACCCCTATTAGTGCTTGCATTGATTGATTTGTGAACAGCCGGCCTCCATTGTCTGCTTTTACCATGACATTGGCCAATCTTGCTCAGCTTGTCTTGTTGACACCAAGGAAATTTATCAGTGCCTTCACTATCTTGATTTTCAATACCACTGCTATTAATACCCTCCAGCTCACGAAAGCTGTAAAGCACTGCCTTGAAAATCTGATATCTCGTCACCTGAACTTCACTTGACATCAGGAGTCTGAAAAATCTGGCGCCTTGCTCGGCAGCTCAGTGTGTCCTCCGCTCCGGCAGCCATTTTGTCTTTCCTTTCCAATTCTCCTCTTTCCGCTGTCACATAATGAGATTAACTGATTGACAGGACTTATGCAAATGATTATATGATCCCACAAGATTCTTTATTTAAAGTAGGGTTGGGAGACGCTCCAGTGCCAAAGGGAGATTCATGATCACACCATCTGGAATGACTGGAGTTACTGTCAACCCTCCTATTGGTCTTGAGCCGTCTCAATTAACCAGTTATTGTAAGACAGCCTGGAAGGGGCAGCTGATGCTCCTCTAAAGTCGGCTGAGACCTTATGTCTTTCCAAATCTGTATTCCTTCTTCCACAGAACACAAAGTTAGATATTTGGACGAATCTTCATGTAGTTGTTTAACGGTTCATGATTATGGTGATTTATGTGCTATATTTTTCAAATCTTTAGAATCCACACGATAGTTTTGTATGAGGAACAGACAAAAAATGAAATATTTATTCACTGAAAATCTGTTAATTCAAGGTCCATATTGTGACAGGATCACAGAGTTAGTGAGCTGATCTCTGATTCATGAACGAATCAGTTCAATTCTTGCATGAATTGTTCAGTTCAGTCAGATTTGTGACTCAGACAAACTGATTTTTTGTTTTAAAAAAAAGTTTAATTTAGTGGATCAGTGATCTGGTGATATCTAATAGGTTCTGAGTGAATAAAGACATACATTTCAGTCTGTTCATATGACTTGGAAAATAGCGAATGATCTGTATGGGCAAGTCGTCATGAAATGGTACTGTAGTAGCAACAGATATTTTCTTCCGAATGATGATATATATATGAGTGAAATGGATTATCGAAAATGTAAAAAAAAAAATAAAAATGTAGGCTGAGCATTTGGTTCTGTGTGTAAGTTTTTGATTGGATTCAGGCAGATCTGAATAAAATCTTGCAGCCAATTGTAAGAAAGGGGCGGGGTTTAAGTGGATCTTGTTTTGTGTGCTTTGCTCACTCCAACTCTCTGATTGGTGGAATTTTCTACACAGAATCATGGGTAATGTAGTTTTTCACCAGAAATTCTGCTAATGAAAAAATTATTATTTTCAAAAGTAAATTGAATTGGTTGTAGAAATGCATACACCATTGATTGACAACCTCGAAGCTCGCAACAGGTCTGTCTGTACAGGTTAATAAGTTATAGTTAAAAATTTATTTCCCTGTGGAGAAAATGAATGGAAGTTTTACTTCCGGTACATGATGGTTGCATTCTATTGATGTCTGTCATTTTGCCAGAAAATCGACTTTTTGATGAAAAATTACTAGGTCAAAAAAAAAAAGTAAATAAATAGATGAATCTTTCAAAGTAACATCAAGAACATACATTTTAAAAATAGATACTATGAATTTCCTTTTTATGCCAATAGACATGGGGGAAAAAAACACTGTGTGAAGATTCTTCAAAAAAAAAAAAAAATTATTTTGTGTTTCACAGAGAAATAACACCACACTGGTTTGACACAATATGAGGGATTGATTTTGTTTTTTGTTTTATGAAAAAGAATTACAAATTTTGGATGAACGATTCCTTTAATTGTGACCTCCTGTTGTTCTTTCGGTCTCTCTCCTAGTCCTGGGTGTGAGGGCTCACGTAGGGGCCCAGGTGGAGCCGCCATCATTGCAGCCAACGAGTGGAGCACCAGCGAGAGCCCGGAGGAGGGGCAGGAGGATGAAGTGGATGGGATGGACAAGGCCGGAATGGAAGGTGATGCAGAGGGCATCTGGAGCCCTGACATCGAACAGAGTTTCCAGGAGGCTCTGGCCATTTATCCCCCCTGTGGCCGCAGAAAGATCATCCTTTCAGACGAAGGCAAGATGTATGGTGAGTCCTTAAAAAGCTGAATACGCCCGTCGAGAGTCAATTGATGGACTTAGTGCTCAGATCACACTTTGCCGGCAAAGCAATAGCAACTTAGGAGAGTAGAAGTCATTCTTATGATTCTTATTTGAAGATTTTCCAAATATCTCAATAAAAAAAAATCACAAATCAGCTATTTATTGCAGTAGCACTGATGCTGGAAAAAATGTTTGTGAAACACGGTAAGGACAAACAGGGTCAATGCAAGCTGTGGGAGTTTTGTTGAAGTGAATCAGAGGGTGAACTTATGACACTTCCCACCTCCAGATTTTCCCATTCCCACATGGGATCCACTGACAGGAATGCTGTGTCTCCCTTTTGAGTCAGCTTTCACAATAAAGCACGAGTCAGCCTCCTGCCTTATATCACGTGTGACAGTTTTCTATTTATCATAGCCATGACTGGGTGTATGATTGAGACATGACTCATTAGTTATTAAAATTACTTGATACTTTAAAGGAGTGGATTCATGTTTGTTTGGGTGTCTTAGTGTATAAATTACTACATATTTACAGAGATATGTCTGGCTGCTACCAAGCACATATTTTCTAAAAGGAGGTCAGTCCGATATTATCAATATTGAAAAAGTTTTTTCCACTTTACAATTCCACTTTTAATCAATTTAATGCATCCTTGCTGAAGAAAAGTAGGCATATTAATGTATTTAGTGTGTATGTAATGTTATTTTACTTCCATGGCACCATTCTAGGAGAGGAACAACATATTCATTGACATTTTAGCAGTAAGCATGTGAATTACTAGATTTTGGGCATGAAAACAACAAACGACAATAAATGTGACCACACTTTAAAGTGATTTTTTTGGCACATTTGTGATGTTATAAATCACTAGCATGAATATTCAGTAATTACTATAGACTAGGCCAGGATTAGACTGTCACATTGATAAACTCGACTTTATGACCTACCCCTAATCCTTTTGTTAACCAATTGTGGTACGCATTAGGATTAAATATAAGATTGCCCACACAAATGAGCTCATTTGTCTTTGGGGTATTTTGAACTTTGACCCTCACTGTAGAATAAGGCTTATGGAGACCGGCCCACATTCTTTTGTTTTTCCATTTGGCTTGAAGGGGACACACATTCCACAACTCTGCGGCCTTGTCCTCCGCCGTAATACTCCACCCACGTCTGTCACACGAGCTCTAATCCCCCTCACAACAGATGAAGGTTTGTTTCAACAGCCAGGCATTTTGTCCTTTTGTGGTAGCTTACATTATCACACAGAGGCTCTTGGGCCCGCTCTGTTCCCTCCGTATGACAAGATCATCCCCTTCCACTCTCTTTACAAACAGCCCATCCCATTACGATACTCCTGCCAGGACCCTGATGTCAATATCCGAAAGCGAACAGTCTCCTGATATGCCCCCTCTCTCTCTTCCACCCCCAGCGCACACAAGTTTACTGGCCGCAATGTATACTTTGACTAGACAGCACTAAAATAGTCTGGCTATCTGATGCTGGCAGGAGAGAACTGCCCTAGTGACTTTGTGGATTGTTTTTGCTCTCTCAGAGTTTGCTGTAGACATTTTAGTAAAGTTGCAGCGAGATATCTATTGTCACTAGATATCTGAAAACTAATAAGTAAAGTAAGTCTAAACCCAAGAATGAATCCAGAATCCTGATTGTCATAATTTGCTGCACCATCTTGTGTTTGCTCTGTTACAAAACATACCTACTTTATTTTATAGCAAAACATGCTAACGGTCGTGGAACCTTGTATATAACTGATATGAAACACTGTACATAAGCAACAACTTGCATAATAGTCACTGGTGCTCAAGTATGTAGAATTGCGTTCCTCACATCAACCACATAGAGATTTCAGTAGAATTTAACGTTAGCATGATGCTAAGTTAACATTGTTATTCTTTAATCACCAATTATTGTATTATCACAAATAATACATGGAACACAAATATTTAGTCAAATCATCCATGTTTAATTCAATTGAATGTATTTTATTAATATTGAATTAACCATGGTTTTATTTAGGGCTGCACAATAAATCGCATGCGATATTGAACGCGCATCTTGTCAGAAAGCCGGTTCTGTAATCAGTATTGGACATTATTTAATAGAGAGCACATTAATACCAACTCAGAATTATTCATGGAAAACTATGTATTTTTTAAAGGGTTAGTTCACCCCAAAATGAAAATTCTGTCATTAATAACTCACACTCATGTCGTTCCAAACCCGTAAGACCTTCGTTCATCTTCGGAACACAAATTAAGATATTTTTGATGAAATCGGAGAGCTCTCTGACCCTCCCATAGACAGCAAGGCAACTGTAATGTTCCCAGGTCCAGAAACGTAGTAAGGACATCGGTAAAACAGTCCATGTGACATCAGTGGCTCAACTTCAATTTTGCGAAGCTACGAGAATACTTTTTGTGCGCAAAGAAAACAAAAATAACATAATTTATTAAACAATTCTTCTCCCCCCGATTTACCGTCTTCCGCCATTTTAGAGATTATCACAACGCATACGCATGCTTTCCCCTAAGCGTAAACAACGCTGTTTACGCAGATTACGTTCATGCACGCACTTTCCCCCCAGAACGTAAACAATGCTGATTACATCGAATACGTTCTTGGATACTCTCTAAAATGGCGGAAGATGTAACTCGGTGGGGAAGAATTGTTGAATAAATTGTTATTTTTGTTTTCTTTGCACACTAAAAGTATTCTCGTAGCTTCGCAAAATTTAAGTTGAACCACTGATGTCACATGGACAGTTTTGCCGATGTCCTTGCTACATTTCTGGGCCTGGGAACATTACAGTTGCCTTGCTGTCTATGCAGGGTCAGAGAGCTCTCACATTCCATCAAAAATATCTTAATTTGTGTTCCGGAGATGAACAAAGGTCTTACGGGTTTGGAACGACATGAGGGTGAGTTATTAATGACAGAATTTTCATTTTTGGGTGAACTATCCCTTTAAGGTTTTCAGTTACTGAGAAAGGTGCCATTTTTATAGTTGATTGTAAATTTGTTGAATTTTATGAATTTTTCCATATGCAATAAAACTAGCTGGATATAGAATGTAGAATGAAGTTGAATGTACAAAATATGACAGAATATATGATGATTATTTTACAGTGGTATTCATAAATTGATTTAAAAACTCTTCTTTGCTCCTTAGTTAGAGTTAAAAAAAAAAAACCTTGCTTTTTTGTAGTTGATTAAAAGAAGATCATTCTGACTTAAGAAATTCTCATTCTAAAGAGCATCTGATTAGACAAAGGTACAAAAGAGTCATCAATATTTTAGGTCTATTTTTCCTAAAGGGAAAGACTTATTTATTAAAGGGATAGTACACTAAAAATTCTGTCATTAATTACTCACCCTCATGTCGTTTCAAACCAGACCTTTGTTCATCTTCAGAACACACATTATTTTTTATGAAATCTGAGAGCTTTCTGATCCATTTACAGCAACACAACCACCACGTTCAAGGCCCAGAGAGGTAAGGACATCATTAAAATAGTCCATGTGACATCAGTGGTTCAACCATAATTTTATGAAGCTACGAGAATACTTTTTGTGTGCAAAGAAAACAAGACTTTATTCAACAATTTCTTCTCTTCCATGTCCATGTAAACAAAATTCAATTATGCCGTAAAGCAGCTCTAAAAAGAGGACAATAGTAACCAGTCAATTTTCTAGTTTTCCAGTTTAGACTACACTAGGATGGGCTCAAAGCTGAAATAAATGTCATCTTTTATTATGATGCCTTAAAGTACTATCTATGTCATTATAGCCAGCTCATTATGTTTTGCAATAGGAATATTTTGTCTCAGGTATGCTGTGGAAACTGAAGGTTCGAGTTTCATTTTGTCCTGATCATCATCGCTAGAATTTAGCGGCCATTAATGTTCCTCAGAGCTTCATTACTCACCGCAAAACTCCCGCTGTCTTCTAACAGAAAGCAGCTTTTCTAATAAAATTCACTCTCTTTGCACCATGGAAAGACTGGTTAAACAATCCGATTTTCCCATCCAGTGTCTGGCTGCTATAATGAGCTTGATTTGTCATCCTGCACCTGTGATGTCTTGCCAAGTTTCTTGTTTAAAGTCTCGACCTGCAATCATTTTAGTTTATCGCCAGTGTGTCAAAGCTCTTTGAGAAATAATACATCAACGCTAACGCTTAGCAAATGATCTCAATGTCTTTTCTGAGTTAGGCTAATTTGTGGCTCTGTTCATCATTACGCATCCTTTTATGTTAGTAGTAGCCATATACTGAGCTTGTTGATATCTGTTCTGTTCAAATCTGTCAGCAAATTTTCATTGTGGGGTCAGCTATTGCTTTAAAATAGGGAAAGTACTGAAGAAAGCAACAAACATTAAGAAGACTATAGGGATCTGTGGAGGAGTAAAGGTTGAGAACTTAAGGGTCAGTAGGTGGAGGTTTGCTCTTTAGGAGTGGTCAAAGGTCAGGGTGTGGACACTGCCCTTCCGTGTTTTAAAGTATTAGAAGGCTTAATTTCACTGAGAGATACATGAACGCGCCAGGAGCTGTGATCTTAAGATGTTCTGCACTTCAGATAAGTGCTAGCCTGAAGGTGGTATTGTGAGTTGGTATCATTTAAAAACATTTTTGACCTTTTGATCTCACAGTGGAGATGGACCAACTGGCCAGTTGTCTCATGCTCCAACTCGCATGGTTTGACAATTTAGGTGTGTGTTCGTATCCGTTTCAGAACAAGTCAAAACATGTTCTGCCAGATTGCCAGTGGCTCAGACAGGATCTTCCAGAAATGAACTCACACACACATATTTACATGTACTGTTTGCAATTATTGCCTTTGCATATCTACGTCATAGTTGTTATATTTATGAATATTGCTAGTGACTACTTTTCTTCTGTTACTGAGTGAGCTTATTTTCCTTAATCTCAAGAAATCACCTAAAATACCTGTTTCTTTAGTAGACAA